TTTTCACTTATTTACAATATTAATTTATTTTTTAATTTGTAACTATTTTCTTTATATATATAGGAATAATAATTAATTAAAAATTTATGTTATCAACTTAATTATTTACATTTCAATAATATCTTTTTACGGTTATTCTTATATTCATTATGTTTGAAATTATCATAGCTCTCTTTTTTGTGTTACGATACTTCTAATATATTTTACTATAAGTAATTCAAATTTTTAAAATTCCTTTCACTTGCTTACATTAATAAATTTTGGTTTAATTTTTTTATTCTAAAATATCATTTCTTTTACATTATTTTTTATTCTTGAAAATATTTTTTTAACTATTTTTATTATATTTATAAAAAAATAATTAGTTTAAAATTTATGTTTTTAATTTAATTATTTATGTTAAATAATTATTTTCTTGCATTCAATTATGTTTAAAATTTTTATAACTCATTTTTTAATGTATTACAACAACTCCATTCTGTTTTATATAAATTGATATAAATTTTATTACTTCTCCAATCTATTATGTTAATATTTTTTTAATTTTAAAATATAAATTCTTTTAACTTAATTTTTTCTTTGAAAGAATTTTATGTTAATATTTTTAATTTCTTTAGAATTATTTCTTTATTTTATAATACTTTTTAGTTATTTTAGAAGATACCAATTACATTAAAAGAAATTTTTTAAAAAATTTTAATTATTATTTTTTATTTTTAAATAATTTTATAAATATGTAATAAAGTGACAAATAAAAAACTATTACAGAAGGTGAAAATTATTTAATTTTTATAAATTTTATTTTCTAATTTTATTACCTGATTGTTTTTTATTGTTTTTTTTTATTTTAGAATTTAATCAATGATTAATATATAATTATATAAATTTAATGATTATTATTTATTAATCTTATTGTAAATTTAGAAAACTTAAATTTATTATAAAAATCTCCATAAAAGCTAAAAGAAATTAATTATTATGATTTTCATGCATGCCAAAACAGATCTACATCAATAAATAACGTTATCGTAACTCACCGCAGAGTAAAAGAAAAAAATACAAAAAAAGAAAGAACTAGACAGGCTTAGTGGGCATTGAAGTGGTTGAATCTTAGACGTTGATTAGTTTAGGCGTTGGGTTTGGTTTTATCTTGTATAGCCCCACCATTACATAAAAGAAGGCTTGGTGTTCGACAGAGATTGTGCTGAAGAATGGAGAATAACTTTTTTTTTTAAAGAATGAGAACAATTTCTATTAAACTTTTGTGTAGTCACATGCGATTTTGAGAAGAATGAACAGTGATTATCCCATTAATTATGAAAACTTCTAAAATATATATATAAAGATTAAAATATATATGGATCTACATATTCCGATAAAATTTTATTACAAACTTCAATGTTCTCAAAATAAATAAATAAGATAAAGAAAGAACACTTGTTCAAAAAATAAAAAAAATTTAGAGAGGAATTAAATTTGTATTTAATTTTGAGTTTAAAATTTTTTAATATATTTATACGATCGATGGAATCAATTTATTTAATAATAAATATATATTTTTTAAAAAAATTTCAATAAAATTTCAAAGGACTTAATTTTATTTTCTAAATTTCATTAAACTTTATATTTAAAAGATTTCAATACTATTAATTTCAAGGACTCAAATGATTTCCTTTCTTTTCTTTTTCTCTTATTTTCTTTATAACAAATCATTTATCTTAAACCAAAAAACTTAAAATAGTCAGTGCTGGTCGGTGAGAGTGTCTTTTTCCAACTTGAAATCTTGTCCAAGACAAAGACATATAGATACGCAAGTGCAAGACCCTTTACCTTTCTAGAAGCTGTCAGACAAAATAACCATGATGGCTTCTACTAGTTTTGAAAACCACCCCAAGTCCAGAGCGAAAAAATATATAATTATATCTTTGAAACCAACCAATAGATTTGACGTCCTCCAAAGTCCAAAATTTCAATTTCCTGTCCATTATTTTTACCATTTGGTATGTTTTTAAGCTTGTTTCACATAGAATTCTTTTAATTTTTAGAGAAACATTTTCCTAAATTATTTCATTGACAATTATTTTATTTTTTAGGGAAATATTTCCCTTAATTATTCTAATCAACAATTATTTTATTTTTATAAGGAAATACTCTCATTATTTATTCTTTTATTTTTTAAAAAAACACTTTCATTACTTATCTTTTTTTTTTTAAAGAAAAATACCCACACTATTTGTTTTCTTGTTTTTAGGGAAACATTTTCATTGCTTGTTATATTTGATCATTCTTCCATTTTTTTAGAGAAACACTAATGTCATGATCAATGGTGAATCCAGAATTTCAAGTTAGACATGGTCAAATTAAATAATAATTATAATTTGAAAATTTTCACTTAACTTATAATATGTTATTATTTTATTAAAAATTATAAAAATTTTAAGTAAAATATGATATTTCATAATGTAATCATAAGTAAGATATATAAAAAATTCAAGTATTGAAATAAAATGTATATAACTATTTAAAACAAAAAAAAAAAACAAACTCAAATAATTTTATTTAAAATTGTGCATGACAATCTTTCATAAAAAAAAAAAAAAAAATCATTAGACTGAAAAGTTTTAGTAAGTTTTCTTTCAATGTAGTTAACAAGATTAAGATTTTCTTTTAATAAATATTGATAATTTTTTTTAGATTTAAAATTAAAAAGAACTTATAATTTACTATTAATGATTTCAAAATCAGAAAATAAAAATATTATGGTCAATAGCCTTATTATGAAAGAAGTTTTGATTACCCTTTGTACCTTCATTATAATTGGCTCTCCAAGAAGGCAAGAGTATACTTTCTTTTTGTAATAACTATAACGATTTGGTTTTAAGTTTTTAAGGAATACGACTTAGTGTGGATTCAAGTTTTAAAGGAATAAAATTTGTCTCTTTATGTTCTATTAATCTCTTCTTTTTTTTTTTTTTTTTTTGTTAAACTTCTTTGAATAGTTTTGACTTTTTAATGTGGGTCGTATTTAACAAATACATTTATTTTTTTATTTTTTAATGAGAACTAAACTATAAATATTAATATTTTTTATAAATTAATTGGAATTTGAGAACTAAATTTTTTTATCTTAAATTTTTTTTTTAAATTACAAGTACAAATTACAATTATAATTAAGTATTACATAATTGAATAATCAAACAAATAAACTAATCAAGAAATTAGAGCATAATTAAACAAATCCAACATAAAATTGAAACAAATTCAAGTATAATGAAATTTAAAGATTCTAAACATTTATAATCACAAAGAATAACTTTTTTATGTTTTAAGGAAGGGCCATTTTTTATTTCTAAACATTATATTAATATGTATTAGAGGGTTTCGAAAATCTTGGGGGGGGGGGGGGGGGGAGAGAGGGGGTTTCATGTGGCTCTGCCACTGGTCATGACTTACACTTTCATGCATTATATGTCTTACAAGCAATTATTTCATATATTTACATTAAAATTTGCCTATTTTATGCATGGAACATTCTTTGATTTTATCAAAGAAATTTCATGCAAGGGGCAACAAACCCACTCATGTGCAGAAAAAATATATATAATTTTTATTCTACACAAGATTTTCATGAAATATACATTACTCATCTTTAAACTATGAAGATATCTTGTTTATTTATGTATTTTATTTTTTAACTATTTCATTATACTAGTGCATGAGAATTTCTTATATTAAGAATTCTTATTCAAAGAGCAAAATGTAGATGCTTGATTTTGGTTACTAATATTTTATTTCATTAAAATTTTTTAAAATTATTAAAATTAAGGATAAGTTAAAACAAGTAATAAAGCTATTTCATCAAAACTTGTTTCACAAAATAATTGTTCATAGAACAACTATTTATGGAGCAGTTGCCCACAGAATAGCTCCTTCGTGGAACACCATCTTCAAGAAATAATTTTTCCAAGGAATAACACCTACACTTTTGCCAAAAGCTCTTTCAATAAAAGTTGCTTCATTGAGAAATATTCTACAATTGATACTTCATTGAATGTTATCTCATCAAAAAGAAGTGAAAATAACTCCAAAATATGAAAATGTTCTTAGATAAATTTCACTATTGAGATGTTTCAAAGATCTTTGCTCGGTGGATTAAATATGAAATAGTTAAGAGATCTTCTCTTAACTTTTCTTTGAAGTACGAAGTTTTCCTTTTCCTTTCAGAATAAATAGTAAACTTCTATGTTTATTATATCTATCATAAAAAGCTACTTAAACTCTCATTAACAATGCATTAACTTTTTTTGTAATAGTAAATTCCACCATCATTCATATTTAATACTCAAATATGTAACTTTTATTCTAAAACCTATAAATAAGAGTTTTCACAATTTATTTGAGGGACTTTTCGATTTAACCAAATTTTCTCACAATTTTCTTTCAAACTCTCTCTACAATTCCTTCTTTCTAAATTCCTTTCTAAATCCTATTTTCTCCTTTACTCAGTTTTATTTTACGATTCACCACCACCTGCTGCTATGTACTCAACACTTCAAAGTCTACTTCAGTCTTCTTCTTCATCATCTCGTAGCACATTCCGTTCTACTTGTTTATAACACTTCCTCACCTCACCAAAATACCCTTTTATAGAAGGTAAAAACAATAGTGCAAATAAAAGCCCTCTAGAATTTAACCATATAAATCCCTATATATATATATATATATATATATATAAAATGTTAATTAAACCTTCGATGAAGTTTTGATAAAAAAAAAGAAAGGAATGGATCTTGTAGAATTTTTAAAAAGTATTTTGATTTCTTTTGAAAGTAGATGATTATTCATCTGCTTCTCATCATGTTCTATGAATAATCAGAACATTGAAGAATATCTATAAAGGTATTTAGAGAATCAATATGATTTTATATCCGTTTGCTTCATTTGAAGAAAGTATAAAAATGTAAAATAATCTGTATGCAACAGAAATTTACGATGATTCATTAAAGTAGACAGATGAATATATATATATATATATATTTATATCTGTTCAATGTTCTAAGTTCTGATACATAAAAACATAGCTTAGATTATAGAAATAAAAGGATTTCCCTGCAATTCCCTATATATATAAACTCTTACAAATACATAGGAAGGCATGGGATGGGACATGACTGCATTGCATCAAAGCAAATATTAATACATAAAAACTACATAAAACAAATTAAACTAAAAATGGTGGCGGAGGCAGAGTTTGAGACGGCTGCTTGATTTATTAGTGGCCACCAGCCATTCCTGGTGAAAGAGATATTTGTTTAGGTGGGTTTGGCAGTGCCAACATTGCCAAGAACGCACTGACAGCAGCCGCAATGGAGCCCAACACAAAGGCGGGCAAATTGCCGCCCCCAAATGCTGCATCCAGTGGTCCGCTGACTACCGATACAAACATCTGCCGTTTACAGACAAAATGCAATACTTAATCCAATAATTTTAAACCCGACATAATTATATTACACAAAAATAATATGAAAAAAATGAAAATTATATAATTTAAAAGTTTAGTAAAAGTTATATATAAATTTTACAAAAATATATATATTTAATGTTTGATATATCACATATATAAACTATAAACGAATTATTATGTCTAATTTTAAGACTTAATTAACTCTTGTTATCTATTTTTAGAAGGTGTAAACCATTTTTTAAGGTAGATTTCCCATTTTTTTTATTAAAAAATAAATGAATCTAAGAGGAGAGATCCGTTTATAATAATGTAAGTTTTATATTTTTTTGTCATTGAATCAAAATAAATAAGATTAAAAATATTGTTTTAATTCAAATTATATTTTATTGGGTTGAATTTTAAAATATTATTTTAATCAAAATAGCTAATATTAAAATATATTAAGTTTAACACGCATATATAAAATTTTTTAAGCTATAAAGTGTTTATAATTTTGAAAAGTAGAAAACTTTACCAAATAGTAACATATTCTAATTCCCACTATATTATAAATTATCCACATATTTAGCCTTTTCCCTGGCACCCAATCTTTTTTGAAGGCATCAAATGCAAAGAAGATATGATAAAAGTGGGGGAATTTTCACCTGTGGGATAACTATCGACATGTTGAGCACTCCTAGAGAGAGACCTACCATGTTCAGAACGTCATTAAAATCAGTAAGCGAGATGAGAAGCCTCCTGATATAAGATAGTTAACACACCAAAACTGAAGCAACAAAAGGTCACTAGACTTTACCTTGACCACCACCTGCATTAGAGCAATAGATGGATGCCAAAGCGAATGGAATGCTGTATGTTACCTGCATAAAGCCAGGGTTGTTATAATATATAGCTTGTGATTATTAGGATTAAGTTACCCTTTTGTGTGGGAATAAATTTGTTCATTGAAGCTTGAAAAGTGACATTTAGTTATTTTTTGATAAAAAAATTCAAGATGAGAGGAGATTATTTTACTTCAAGATTAGGATAGATAGTAAGTTTAAAAAATTTTATATTGAATTTATAAATCTTGCATCAAAATAAATTACTGACAGCAGAATCAAACCTAAATTTTAACAGCAAAGTTTAAATTCCTTAAGTTAAAATTAACAGAGTAATTTTTTTTATATGTTGTTGTCTATACTTGTAAAAAATACTATTAATATATATTAATAAGTTTGTAACAGATGAATAAAACTCATTTTGGTAAGCTATCAATTTCTAAACCTCAAGGATCAAATCATTTTTTATTCAAATGACATGATATTTTTGTAGTTTTGCCCTATCTGATTTATATATATGTAGAAATAGATGAAAGAAGATAATGTTGTTGTCTATACTTGTAAAAAATACTATTAATATATATTAGTAAGTTTGTAACGGATGAATAAAACTGATTTTGGTAAGCTATCAATTTCTAAACCTCAAGGATCAAATCATTTTTTATTCAAATGACATGATATTTTTGTAGTTTTGCCCTATCTGATTTATATATATGTAGAATTAGATGAAAGAAGATAAGGAGCTAACCGCGAGTGGAACACCCAAGAGTCCAAACGCAGCCAAAGCATAGCCTTTGATGTTTAGTGGAGGGTGGACGAGATCGGGCCCATTGTGTTTTCTCCAAGCCTCAGCTATCTTGGTAATCAAAACCGTCGATGCCAGGCATGCGCACAATATGAAGTTCACAATACCCCACAAGTTTTTGACACCACCAATCAAGCGGCCCACGGGTTCCAGCACAAGTGAAGTTAACCCCAAGATAATAGAGTTAATCATCAACCCCAATGCTCCTGCTCGCACTCCATCTCCGTAAATCTTAACTTCATGTGCATTTCCCTTTACCTTGCCTCCATAAACCTCTGTCCCCATCCAATCAGTGTCAAACAACAAGAATGGAAACCAAGCTATCCAGTTGAGGCAAGTGACAAGAAGCAAGATCCACATTGGCTTCTTCAAAGTCTTGAAAGCTGTCACAATCTCCCCAATGAAAGGAGCCGGTGCTTTGGTTTCTTCCTCTTGGACTTGCTTGGTTAAGGGATCCTCCTTCACTGTCGTAATCGCGGTTACAGTCACTAACAAGAGGATCATAATGTCAATGGTGAAGCAAGACTTGAGGTTTGCACAGTAAACATCACAGGCTTTAGTTCTTGTGAAGGGGAAGATCTTGTAAAGATGTGAGTAAGAACCAGCTGCATAACCCAAGACGTTCCCAACAGCCATGAAAAACGAGAACCAACCATTTGCAGTTCTCATCTTTTTATGGTCATTGGCTGAGAGGTCTGCAAGAAGAGCACGACATGGACCTTGTAACATGTTGTTAGCCACATCAAGAATCCAAAACCCAACAACAAAGATGGCAACCGCTCTTGGTTTAGTGGATTTCTCCAAGGAATCACCAGCATGGTGACCAATATCTTTGGCGAAACCGATAAGGAAGACAGCAATAGAGACAAAGGTAGCTCCAGCAGCAATAAAAGGTCTGCGGCGACCAAAACGAGAGATGCAACGGTCACTGTTGTAGCCTACAATGGGTTGAACAAGAAGGCCAGAAATGGGGCCACAAAGCCAAATGAAAGCAGCCCAGGTGTGAGGGACGCCAAGGGTTTGGACGTATGGTGTTAGAAGGGACAGCTGCAGAGCCCATCCGAACTGGATGCCGGCGGCAATGGATGCAACTGTCACAATCTTCCTTAGCGGGCTTGGAGACTGGATGATATCTCCGTTTTCCATTTGGTTTCCAATTACACTCTACCTGTAAACTGTATTCCTTAGTATTATTAATAATATAAATTCTGTCTCTATGAGATGATTAAGTGAGATATGGAATCATGTTATAATTATCCTTTGATCAGTGCAATCAGTCACATGTATAAACTTTTTCAAAGAAGTGGGTCTTTTAAAAAAAAGAAAGTAAATAAAAAATTTAAGAGCTTATATGTAATGTATAATTATGTCTAGATTTTATACCTAATCAATAAATCATATGATATTATATTATTAATGAATAAATATAAATTTTTACAAAACATTAAAATAAATATACAAAAACTTTTTCTGATTTTATGAATGAAATAAATTATATGATTCACTAATAATGTATGTATAAAATTTATATACTGATAATGAAACAAGAACAAACTCTAATCACAATATATGTTTACAAATTAGTGTTTCATTTAACTTCGTTAAATCCATGGTAATAAGTTTTATCATTGTGGTTCAATATGTTCTTCAAGCTCTATTAAATAATCAAATAATGATTTTATTAATAGATTTATAAATTTTCCACTTGATGATTAAATACAAAATAATAAATTAATATATATATTCACTTAAGTGAATATGTGTTAACTATATATATATAAGTTTAGTTTTAAAGTTTTAAAACTTCTTTGCGAAATTATAAGATGATAATATGTACCAAATATAAATGGTGTGAAAGCACTTTCCGACCATGTGTTGAAAAAGTTAGATGAAATTAAAGACAAAAGATTACACGTTTGAATTCCATGTTTGTAATCATTTCGAAAATATAATTTTTCTCAAAGGTCCTTTTGGGACAACTACTTTCTTTTTTTAATTTTTATTTTAATTTTTGGACACGAGAAGCTTATGCTAAAGTTTGATATTGATCCAATTTTAAATTCTTGAGATGATTCTGGACCAAGTGAATAATTAAGTTCTGAAAAGTTCAATCCATTCATTAATTACCAAAAAAAAAAAAAAAAAAGAAAAGCTTTGAAAGGCAATTGATTATTATTTCATAAGATGTATATATTGGTTAAGACTTTTAAAAATTATAAATTTGAAAAAATTTAAATGCATAATTTATGTTTTTCTCAAACAAATTAACTTGAAGAGTTAAAAATAAATTAAATATTAAAAAGTTGTTCTTTCTATACTTAAATTTAGCACACAATTTGTAGCTGTATATCTCTCCGAATTAGAGGTGAAAAGCAGGCTCTTTTCGTTAAAGGAAATTGAATTACTAAGGTTTGGATATGGTTAGTAGCACAAAAAATAGCACCATATTTACAAAAGGAGTTGGGATATTTGTCCTATTTTTTTTATTAAAGATTAATTTCTTTTTTAGGGAAATTTCCATTGCAGAGGAAAAAAAACATACAATGCGTTCAATTAGTGATTGATAAAAATAATTTAGTAGTTCAATTACTATTTGTCATTTAATTAAATTATTAAAAATAATAACTCAATGAAATTAAATGAATAATATTTTTGTAAATGAAGTATATATATGACTTATTGGTTTAATAAATATAAAAAGATATAATTTTTTCATTTAGAAAACAATATTATTTATTATATGGGCATTTTTATTTTAATTAATTAATTTATTTGAAGGGACCAAAAATAAAAAGTAAAAAATTTGTGGTATATTATTATAAGATTATTATTATTATTCATTTCTTGATATGTATACTTTTTAAAAAATTAGTAAATCTTAGAAAATAGAGATTGAAATAATTAACTTAATAAGGTAACAAATCCTGGAAATTAAACTTTAACTATTAAAATATTTTTAAAATAAAATAAAATTTTAAAATTTAATTAATATACATTATTTATTAATATTGAAAAATATTCTCAAATAAAAATCAAATAATTTAAAATTTATATCTAAAATCAAATTCGAAATTAATCGTACCACAATCCAGACGGATGGGTGGATCCATGGACACCTATTACTGTGATATGGTTAGGCTAGTTGTCACAGGTCGAGACTTAAGCTCCGAACCCACGCGGCTCCGGGACCCGGGCATTCACCCTTTCGGCGTTCCAGATCAGCCTTTCGTCACGGTTCACACCCTTGTGAGGTATTGTCCGCTTTGGCCCCCTGGTCTCACGGTTTTGTCTTACAAAAGGCGCCTCACAAGGCGGAGATGGTGTGAACCCTTATATACCCTAGGGACCCTCCTATTATATTCGATGTGGGATTCAGGACTCCCCCTTAGGTCCGTGACATTCTCCCGCACCCAACCTCGTGACGCCTTCGTCACGGAGGCTGACCACCCTGCCTACCTCACTCGAGGCGCTCGACGTGGATCGAACGGTATAGGGCTAGCTCTGATACCGCTTGTCACGGGTCGAGACTTAAGTTTCGAACCCGCGCGGCTCCGAGACCCAAGCATTCACCCTTCCGGCGTCTCAGATCAGTCTTTCGCCACGGTTCATATCCTTGTGAGTTATTGTCCGCTCTGACCCCCTGATCTCACGATTTTGTCCTACAAAAGGCGCCTCACAAGGTGGAGATGGTGTGAACCCTTATGATATCTCAGTCCTCGTACCTGTTCGATTGGCTTGTTCTAAGTCGGAACAGCCATCACAGATTTGATGGCTCGACCGCATAACAATTACTTGCCAAAAACATAGTTCTGGGATTTGTAAAATATATATAAACTGAATTAAGAACTGATTGGCAAATATGGTTATGAAATTTAACTGATTAAACTATAAATTTTTTCATTCCTTTTCTATTTTTTCCTCCCTACCAATAAATTTTAGGTTAAAATTTATAATAGATCACTCAATTATATGAATCTTTAAAAAATGATTATTTAACTATTAAATTTTTTCAATTAATCACTTAAATTTAAGTAAATATTTTTATCATTCAACCATTAATATTTAACAACATATTGAAATGATATTATCACATCCATGAGCATGTATTATATAATACTATCACATCAATAATCATATCACATGATATATTGATAACTAAAATAAAAATTTATATAAAATTTTATATGATATTTGATAGTTGACGTAACAATTTCACATTATTATTTTATTAAAAATTAACAATAGAGTAATAGAAAATATTTATTCGAATTTAAATCAGTAAAATAAAAAATTAATAATTAAATAATTATTTTAAAAAGATACTTATGGTTAGTAACTAATAGTGTATTTTATCTTAAATCCTAAATGATTATGGGTTTTTGGTTTTAAAGGAAATATGTGAAAAGAGCCAAAGAACTAATTTAAAAAAAAAGTAAAATTTTGACCTTTTATATGACAAAAAATTTACTTAATTAACAAAAGTAAGAATTTTGTTTAGGTAATATCAAAGAAAATATCAACCATTATTTGCTACTTTTGCTTTTACTTTATAATCAAATAATAAGGTGAGCAACAAGTCAAATGGGTTTGTGATCAATAGAAACGCTAGCCTTAATTAAAAATACATGTATATTTATATATGATAAATTGTTAGTATATTTATATATATATACACCATATCAAAAGTTGAAAAGAATTTTTTTTTTATGAAAAGTTTAAGAGAATCTCAGAATTAATACTCATAGTTTGAAATTAAAGTGTTAACTGTCTCGTGTTTATTAATAGAATTTTTAATTTTTAATTTTAATAATTAAAATTAAACTCTTAATTGGTATAAAAAATTAAATTTGTTTAAGGATCAAATTATGAAGGATGTTCATTCGATTGATTCGATTAATTTCAAAACGAATTACTTAAAATCAAATTAACCTAATTATATTATTTTATTTTTATTATTCGAATCAAATTTTTTAATTTTTAAAATTAATCGATCAAAATTAATTCGATCGGTTAAGTTAATTTTTTTTATTAATTGAATAATAAAATACATTATATTAAATTATATTTTAAAGTCTTATTTTCACATATATGAAACAATTTAAATAAATCCAACAAAGATATTTAAATACTAAAGTATTAAGTTAAAAACTCTAATAACTTAAAATGAAATGGACAAATTCATTTATTTTTAGTTTTATAAATAGGTTTTATAATATTTTGGTTATTTTGATTAGTTCGATTTTCAAATCGAATTAATGTAAAAATTAAAAAATTTTCTAAAATCATTTTCGATAATCAATCAAAATTAATTCAATGATTAATCGATTAATTAAATCAAATTGATTCGATTGATTAATTTAATTAAAACTAAATTATAAATACGTCTACAACTCATTCGATCTACTTAACTTAGACTTAGATTTGTAAGGCATAAGACTTAATTTATCAAGACATGAATATTACTATTTAATTAATAAAAATAAATCTTTATTTAAATTTATTTTTAAAATATATTTAAGATATTAAAATATTTTCATAATTAAATATATAAATAAACGCAACAAATTGAACTCGATTTCTTTTTTTTTTCTTTTCATTTTTCTAAGAACAAATTAAAAGAAATTAACTTGTTATTAATAGTTTCTTCACCAATCACAAATTACCAAGTGACATCCACGTGAAATTTTAAAAATTATTCAAAATTTTTATTTTAAACTTGACTTACACATGACATAATTTTATTGGTCAAATATCATATCGATAGATTGATTAACAATGTTAGTTCATAGTTCAAAACATTATGCAGTTTGAAAGTTCAAGAACATATTTATATTCAAAGACAAATTTGTATTTTTTTTTCATATTTCGAGTATCAAAACCTCATTAACTAAAAAAATCAAGAGTTTTCATTCTCTTCAAAATAATATAAAAGCTAAACCTCAATTATTGCACATGCCTACAGTTGCTCGAATACACTGCACAACAATTTGGATAGCACACTAAAGTTGTTTTTCCCTTTTTCTGAAAAAAAGATTGCAAAGCTTTGAAAACAAATGGTTTAAGATTAAACATGAAATATTATGACTTAAACATTAGTATATCAAATCATTCCTTTTCCAACTTAACTATATGACTTTTGTTAGAAAGACAAAGCATATACATGAGACTGACAAGTAACATTTCATAAAACAATAATATCAAATCTTTGGTTCCATGACTTTCTTGGGAAAGCTTAAAAAAACTTACCAACTTTTCCAGCTATAGTTATAAGCTGCAACGCTTGCTGTTATTTTGCTTCAAATTCCACCACCCTTCTGATCTCTTCTAAGTTCTCTTTTCCTGTCAAAGCTTTGTTGAGGGTTGAGAATGCATGAAAGTAAGAATCAATATGTATAGGATTGGCTTGAACCAAGCTCAATAACAATACATGCTTTATCTTTGTACTTCTCTATAGGAAATGGATAGTTCAATCATGCTAGCTGACTTGAATTTATACTTGTTTGGCTGCAAAGAAAATATTCTTAGTATAGTTATTAACAGATATTATTATGGGCAATGAAATTTTTCTGGAAGGAGATTCTTTTTTTTTTCTTTTTTTTTTTTTAAATAAAATGATTTGAAACGAAGAATATATACGAACTCATCTAGCAAAAAATTCACAATTCTGACAAGGAAAAAAAAGATAATATAATTAAAGAAAATAATTAATCACAATTAAGTATATATAATGACTCATATAGCAAGAATTTTAATCATTTGGGAGTTGGGACCAATGAGATTGCAAAGACAAAGGTGTTGGCAAAGATAAAGATGTCAATATTGCTTGGTTGTAATTGCTTTGTTTGTCTTTGTTCTTCTGCTGTTTTTGTTCTACGCTAACCATAATCCACACTGTTCTTTTATTCTCTTTTCCTTTTATTGCAATAAATTTGGCTTCTTGCTTTTAAAAGGAAAATTTTGGTCCAAGTGTTAAGGGAGAAAGGTAAATGTTAAGGGGGGCAGCACTTATTTTCTGACTCTATTTTTGAGTAAAAATAGAAATAATTGTTCACAACATTTGATCTATTTATAAAAATTTTAATTATTATATCTGTTCCAATTAGAACTAATAGTTTTAAGTATAATGTGATGATTGATATGAAAAAATAAAAATAAAAATAATATAATTTAAAATTTTAATAAAAATTATATATAAATTAAAAAAATTAAATTAAAAATAAAATTTATATTTTACGTATCAATATAAATTTTGATAAAATAATTTTTATTTTTAACACAAAATAGATATGACGTAAATATAGGCGTTATCCAATCTTAACTCCAAGACAGTACTAGCTAGTCAATAAATGTAAGACAAACCAGTCATGTGTAAAGGGTATTTACCTCCTTTAGTGCCTATCTTAGTGTGACAGAGAAGCAATCTTGGTTTCTTTTTAGATGCATTGATCGTATATCACATTACACAAAACTTTTGGTAGCCTACTTAAGCCTAACTTCATTCTTCCCATCTATATTTTTGCCATTTGGTCATTTTGTCATTGGGGCATATGTAACGTTCAAAGAATAGTAGCTGAGAACCAACGAGAAAAGAAAAGAAAAGAAAAGAAACAAGAGTTTTAGAAGACACAGGATGACAGGAAACGGGATTTCACATTGGTCAATAGACCACGCCACCTGTCATGAGCCACCTTTGTATAGGGCCATGACCGGGACTTAGGTTGTCATGAGCCACCCATGTATAGGGTCATGATCGGGTAGATCCCTTGTGCTAGGAAAAGTATCCCCATTTCAAACATTGTAACGGTTACTGATAGTATAGCTTTAAAAGTTCTAAGGCTCTTTAGGGGGTGAGCCGGCAGCGTAGTGTTAAGCTGTCTCATCGGGTGCTATGCGAGCTTAGGCCACCCACCAAGGGCTGCCCCCTGGCCCTGGTGATGGTGAGAGGTCCCGATGTATGATTCCCGTTTATAATAAAATTCACCCCGATTGAATGCCCGATTGTTGCCTCGATGTGTTTTTTTCTTTCTCGATGTGAATGTGCCTTGTTGTGTGTGTATGCTTGAGATTGACCTCGATATATTGTGCCTTATTGTGAATGCTTGAGACTAACCATGGTTTATGATTATTTGTTCAGATCTCGATCTATTGAAGGCTGACTTGGGTGGAAGCGTCCATTCAACTGCCATACGGGCTAGTGCTTGTTGAGAGAAAGCTTAGTCCGTGACATGTGGTATCAGAGCACGGTTGAGAAGTGCTAGAAAAATGGATAAGATGGCCACAAGTGGTGGACCGGATCATCAACAGAGAATTGAGGAACTTGAAGCCGCAGTGGCCGTAATGAAAACTCATATGGTGACGAAAAACCGAGTGAGGGAGATCGAGACAACCCAACGGGAGTTGTCCGATACTCTCCACAATGTGAACGAAGAGGCTAGAGATGCCTTGAACATTCTTCAAATCCACAATGTGAGTGAAGAGGCTAGAGATGCCTTGAACATTCTTCAAAAGGAGTTTGAGGAGCTCAGGGCCCAGGTGAGCATCCTACAAATGGCTGTGGCCAGATCGGATTCGAGCTCGATGGACAGGGGTCAAAGGCTCAAGGTGCCGGAGCCTCGATGCTATGAGGGGGCAAGGGATGCTAAGGAACTTGAAAATTTCTTGTTTGACATGGAACAATACTTTCGAGCTGTACACACAAGTTCAGAGGAAGACAAGGTGACAATGACGTCGATGTACCTAACAGGGGATGCCAAACTGTGGTGGCACTCCAAGTTTGTCGATGACGAGTGCCTGATTAAGACTTGGACGGATCTGAAGCGAGAACTGAAAAACCAATTTTTTTCGGAGAATGTGGAGTATATGGCTCGAAGGAGACTTCGAGAGTTGGTGCAAACCGGAACGGTGCAAGAGTTCGTAAGGAACTTTTCTACCCTGATGCTGGATATTCGGGACATGTCCGAAAAGGACAAGATGTTCTATTTTCTTGAGGGCCTCAAGCCTTGGGCGAGGACAGAGTTACAAAGGCAGAAAGTGCAAGATGTGGCCACGGCCATGGCTGCAGCGAAACGTCTTCATGATTACAATGATGGCTCCTTAAAACGAAAAACTCCTTCATCAACTGGCAGTAGCTTTAACTTTGAGAGTAGGGGAAAGATGACTAGGTTGGACCGACCCTTCAGTGGGGGATCAGATAGGAGGTCCTTTGGTCGAGATAGCACCCAGCCCAAGACAAACAACGCAGGGATTTTCAAGCCTAGGCAACCGTTAGCTTACTTTCTTTGCAAGGGGCCGCATCGAGTGGCTGAATGCACGCACCGATGAGCCCTTAATGCCTTAAGGACCTCATCCCAAGAGTCCTCAAAAGCGCCAGAGAGCGTTGAAGAAGCTGAAGAGGAGCCAGCCAGGATGGGCTCAATAAGGTTCCTCAGTGCCTTCCGCACCCAATTGAACACTATAAAGAAAGAGCAAAGTAGAGGCTTGATGTACGTGAACTTGACGATCAATGGGAAAGCCACTAAGGCCATGGTGGATACGGGTGCAACCGACACTTTCATCACACCAGAAGAAGCAAAAAGGTGTGGTCTTCAGATTAATAAAGATTGTGGGTGAATGAAGGCGGTCAATTCGACAGCCTTTGCAATCAGTGGAAGCTTCAAAAGTGTGACAACCCGATTGAGGCCATGGGAAGGGAAGGTAGACTTCACAGTCTCCCCCATGAATGACTTTGATGTCGTTCTCGGATTGGACTTCATGATGTTAGCTCAAGTGATCCCTATCCCCGCTGTTAGCTGCTTGTTATTTTTAGGAGAACACCCATGTGTGGTGCCAGCCAATATCTTGCCAAAGAGTGGGAAAAAAATAATTTCGGCTTTGTAATTCAAGAAAGGGGTAAAGAGAGGGGAACCCTCTTTTGTGGCCATGCCGATCTACAAAAAAGGGTCGGAAGTAGAACCAATACCCGATGGCGTAAAGAGAGTGTTGGAAGAATTCGAAGAGGTGATGCCAGAGATGTTACCCAAGGTTCTACCCCCTCGACGAGCAGTGGACCACGAAATTGAGCTCCTCCTAGGAGCAAAACCCCCTGCTAGAGCTCCCTATCACATGGCCCCGCCAGAGTTGACCGAGCTGAGAAAACAGTTAGATGAGCTTCTACAAGCCGAGTTCATCCGACCATCAAAGGCTCCTTTCAGAGCGTCAGTGCTATTCCAAAAGAAGCATGATGGGAGTTTACGCTTATGTGTTGACTACAGGGCCTTGAACAAAGTCACCGTAAGAAACAAATATCCTATCCCGCTTATAACAGACTTATTTAATCAATTGAGTCGGGCCAAGTACTTCTCCAAACTGGACCTGAGATCTGGATACCATCAGGTAAGAATCGTTGAGAAAGATGAGCCAAAGACCATTTGTGTAATACGGTATGGCAAGCTTGTGCCATCTTGAAGTAAGTGGAAGAAGGGATGTCCAAATACTTCTGGCAAGAAAATGGTGTCTTGTGGACCAAGGGGCCTCGAGTGTTTGTGCCGAGAGCAGGAGGGCTGAGACAGATGCTGATGAGGGAATGCCATGACACCCCATGGGCGGGACACCCAGGTTGGCAACGCACTTTAGTGTTACTGAAACAAGGATACTATTGGCCCTACATGCGACAAGATGTGATGGACTATACGAAGACTTGCTTCATTTGCCAACAAGACAAAGTCGAAAAGAGGAAACCTGCGGGCATGCTGGAACCATTATCGGTACCCACCAAACTGTGGGAAAGCATCTCCCTCGATTTCATTTCGAGCCTACCCAAGGTTGGGGATCTTGGAACTATCTTGGTGGTAATTGACCAGTTCTCCAAGTATGCCACATTCATCCCCGCTCACAAGTATTGTACAGCAGAAGACACAGCTCGACTATTGTTCAAACATGTGGTCAAATATTGGGGCATCCCTCAAAACATCGTCAGTGATAGAGATCCAAGATTCACGGAGTCCTTTTGGAGGGAACTTTTCAAGATTTTGGGGTCCCAACTCAACATCTCTTCGAGCTACCATCCTCAGACCGATGGCCAAACGAAACGTTTCAATGGATTGTTGAAGGAATATTTGAGGCACTTTGTCCAAGCCAACCAAAAGGACTGGCCTTCATTGTTGGACGTTGCTCAACTCTGCTTTAATTCCAACAAGAGCTCTTCCACTAACAAGAGCCCATTTGAGGTGGTCACCGGACAACTACCAAGGCTACCCCACACTTCCTTGGAACAATATGGAGGAAAGAATCCGAGAGCTTTCAACTTCAGCAAGGAGTGGAAACAAAACACAGAGATTGCACAAGCTTACCTGGAGAAGACATCAAAGCGGATGAAGAAATGGGCAGACAAGAATCGTAGAGCTCAGCAATTCCAAGTTGGTGATTTGGTTCTGGTCCGACTAGTTCCAGAACAAATCAGGTTCTTAAGAAAGAGATATCGTAGACTGGTACGCAAATATAAAGGTCCAGTAAGAGTCA